AAGTTATCAGCGTTCATGCAGGCCAGGGTGGAGTGCAAATGGGAAATGCCTGCTGGGAACTTTACTGCCTTGAACACGGAATCCAACCTGATGGGCAAATGCCTAGTGACAAGACAATTGGCGGTGGTGACGATTCCTTCCAAACATTCTTCAATGAAACAGGAGCTGGAAAACTCGTTCCCCGGGCGGTCCTTGTTGATTTGGAGCCAACTGTTGTCGGTAGGCTTCTTTGCGTAAATTATTTTGACTGAGGTTTATTTTTACCAGAAAACATTCAAACTCGTTATCCTTAGACATGTCGTAGCCCCAAACAACGGTTCCTCAAAATGAGCTTGTTCGACACTTCAGTTATTTAGTTTAACCAGTTTAATTTGTTTCACGAACATGCATGCCAAGCAAGCACGTCGTCCTATCGATAAAAATCGATAGCATATCAGCGTACGCTTACTCGTGGGAAACTTGCTGCTACGACTGCAGCCAACCAATCAGAAGCCAGTTGCGAGCGGGACACGAGCAGCGAGTTTCGATTCGCAAGTGATTGCTATTAGGGTGACCTGTCTCCTAGCATCCAGCAACGAAGACGAGTGATTAAATAAATGCCTGTCAGTATAAAAATGCATTCGATAAGGTATTTTTATTAGGATAACTCTTGTACTCCGGTTCTCTTTTCGTAAGACGAAGTTCGGACGGGTACTTACCGGCAACTATTTCACCCGGAACAACTCATCAGTGGAAAGGAGGACGCCGCCAACAACTATGCACGCGGCCATTATACCATCGGCAAGGAAATGATCGATCTGGTTTTGGATCGCATTCGAAAGCTCGCCGATCAGTGTACCGGTATGCAGGGTTTCGTCATTTTCCACTCTTTTGGCGGAGGCACTGGATCAGGTTTCGCATCACTGCTCATGGAGCGGCTTAGCGTAGACTACGCCAAGAAGTCCAAACTGGAGTTTGCAATCTACCCGGCCCCGCAGATCTCGACTGCGGTTGTGGAACCCTACAACGCCATTCTCTGTACACACTCCACCCTGGAACATTCGGATTGCGCCTTCATGATTGACAACGAGGCGATCTACGACGTGTGTCGGTGAGCTATTTTTCGATTAGCATCAACTTCCTTCATTATGATTTCAATCCCGCTATAAGTTGTGTGTACTGCACGACGATCACAAAAGGTGGGCAGATTTAAAGCGAATAAGTTGAGCGAGACCACTTTTCCGCCAAAGTGGTCGGAGCCCGAATGCCGAAGGTCAAGGATCCACCTGAACTCTATATTTATGGTGGCGTCCTCCGATAAGAATTACATTTCGTTGTTTGGTTTTCATAAAGCTGTTTTGGGAAATTTGCTTCTGCAGCTCCACTGTTAGCTAACTAAAACAATTTTAGTAGATGTGACTATGCTGACTTAACATATATCAAGTGCTTGCGCCTTCCTTACTTTTTTTAATTCAGCGACTGACTGTGTCTCAGGAGAGGAGTGCTTATACACCAGCGCTTCCCTGCGCATGCCTCGAGCCATGCCTGAGCCAGCGAGTTGTCAAGTAGACTTCCTAATGGAATTGTTTCGACGGTCTGGAAATCCATCGGTCCCACTACAGTGGCCATGAACTGTAAATTGCCACGAGGTTTCCTCCGTGGCCTTCCCGTTGTGATTACGCCCCCCGTATCCTTATAATCCAGTGAGTGACTCCATCGGGGGGAAAGTGTGTACACACCAAATTTGGTTACACCCAGCATCAGTTAACGCGTGTGCTTCATTGCCTGTGCTCCGCGCTCTGCTTGCGCTCTCTCCCCTTCCCTAGTCCAGCGAGTGGCTAAGATTGGTATTTTAACCAACATGAGCCTATATTTTGGCGCCGTTACGAGATGACACGTTTGCAGCACAACGGAGGAACGAGCCTGTAAATTCCGTTATCTCCGAAACCAGTTTGTGCAAAATGGCTATCCGAAGGCATTCATAAGTCGCTGCCTAAGCGGTCGCCCCAGAGGACCCATACATCAAGGACGTTTCAGAAACAAAAGAACGCATTGCTTCGGAGCTAGGTAGCCTCAAAGCTACCATGCGCAGTAGGGCCATGACAATTCAAGACCGGTTAAAGCATGAGGAGCAATCTGGAGTAGTGTATCACGTCCCGTACCAAAACTGTCCTCCTAACTGTACAGGCCAGACTTGCGCCCTCTTTATTATCTCGGTCCAGCGAGTGGCTAAGTAGGCCTGCTAATGTCATTATTCGGATGGTGCCGAACTCCGTCGGTTTCACTATAGTAATCACGTACTGTGAATTAGTGCGAAGTTCCCTCTGTGGCTTTCAGTTGTGATGTCCCCTTCCTATCTTCTTAGTCCAGCTAGTGGCTGTCGCGGGGGGAGTGTGTAGGTGCCCCATTCGGTTGCATCAAGCATCGGTTCACACGCGCTTCCCTGCGTGTGCTTCGAACACTGCTTGGGCTCTCTTCCCCTTTCTAATCTAGGATTGGTATGCTAACTGAAGTTGTTTTAGTAAGCTGGCCATATGGCAACAATCATGTGGATTGGAGGACCTAACCTTTCATGTCACCGTGTAATGCTTGATTTAAATGTTCCTTACAGGCGAAATTTGGATGTCGAGAGACCTACATACACCAATCTCAACCGATTGATTGCCCAGGTTGTCAGTTCAATTACGGCTTCTCTGAGGTTCGATGGCGCCTTAAATGTTGACCTCACAGAATTTCAAACGAATCTCGTGCCCTATCCCCGGATTCACTTTCCCTTGGCCACTTACGCGCCAGTGGTCTCCGCCGAGAAAGCCTACCACGAGCAACTGGCTGTTGCTGAACTCACAAACGCCTGCTTCGAGCCAGCCAATCAGCTGGTGAAGTGTGATCCGCGGCATGGCAAATACATGGCCTGTTGTCTGCTATATCGGGGTGACGTGTCGCCGAACGAGGTGAACGCGTCAATTGCCTCAATCAAATCCAAGAGGACCATCCAGTTCGTTGACTGGTGTCCAACCGGCTTTAAGGTCGGTATTAATTATCAACCGCCCACCGTGGTGCCAGGTGGCGACTTAGCCAAGGTCCAGCGTGCCCTCTGTATGATGAGTAATACAACAGTGATTGCAGAAGCGTGGGCCCGACTGGACCATAAATTTGACTTAATGTATGCGAAGCGCTGCTTCGTACACTGGTATGTGGGCGAAGGCATGGAAGAGGGTGAGTTCTCCGAGTCGCGTGAAGATACAGCTGCACTGGAGAAGGACTACGAAGAAGTCGGTGCCGACACTGTGGAGGGTGAAGGTGAGGAAGAAGGAGAGGAGTACTGAGGGAACATCGCTCGCTCGTGGCGATTCCAGACAGCTTTTATACCGGCACTGGTTTTTACTCTTCCATGATGACGCGCCCCACAATTTCTTAACAAAAACCCCGATAACTCGCAATGTACCTGCTGTGATTGTATTTTTATAGCGCCCCAACCGGCACCCAAAAGAAGTCTGACACAGAATTCGGTCATTCTTCTTGGTTAGGGCTTGTAAAAACATTAGACAAATGATCCCCAAATAAATATTCGACACAAACTTTGGTATTTTTGGAACTTAGAGTGGCAATGGGCGTATAATTTGCTAGAAGCCACATGTTGTAGCGAACTAGCAGTAGCAACGTGCCGCACCAGGAATTTACGAGAAGAGAGACGCGAAAGAAGTAGATAATTGACTTTTGCGAAGTTATGCAAGCAGACCGGGCGAGCGTCTGCCGTAATATGCCAGGATTGGTAGAAAAACCATTGGATGACAATGAGGCAAATTTAGTAAGGTGAATTGGTAAACCGAGTCAGCGTTAAGGAGTTTTTAGAAGCGGTCTCATCGTACAGATGTCCGCAACGATTGCTTCTCACTTTGGGTATTATTCCAAAATGGGGAGAAACAAACTGGCAAACGAGAAAAGTAAGTGTTGGGGGCGGCAATGTGGATCCCCCGTATTCCAGGTGGCACTGACCTTAATTCCTAGGGCGTTGGATTTGGGCTCAGACTTTGTGTGAAGGTTAGGAGTTCCGATTAACGTTGGGGTTACTGTTGGGAGCAGGATCGTTAAGATCAGGGTTACATTTAACAAACAGGAGTAGGCACCCCCTGGAATTTAGCTCGAGACCATCTGCAATACTGGGCGGGGATCTGCATTTCCGCGGCAGTCAAGGGTGTAAGATCAACTGCGCCCATGCGTCCAAAACCCGACTCTCCCCCGAACTACTACGAGATCTGTTGGTACTTTGCACCAAAGATGTTCAATTTCTGTTTAATGGGGAACTTTACAGACAAATTGACGGAGTCGCAATGGGTAGTCCACTTGGGCCAACCCTCGCCGATGTTTTTATGGGTTACCTAGAGGATAAGGTGTCCTCAGAATTAAACATGCCAACATTATACAGGAGATACGTGGATGATATATTCACGATTGTTGATAGCAAGGAAAACGCCTCCGACCTACTTTGCCTGATGAATAATCTGCATCCTAAAATCAAATTTACGATGGAAATGGAGCAGTTTAACAAGTTACCCTTCCTGGACTTCCTCATGTTTAGAGAGGATAATGGTTCAATAAGACGCTCCGTCTTCCACAAGATTACGTGGAAAGGGCAATACCTACATTTTAAAAGCGTTGCGCCAACACAATGGAAACGTAATCCAGTACATACTCTTTTTCAAAGAGCGAGAAATATTTGCTCCAGTGAGACCATAGATACAGAAACTGCCCGTATCAAAGAAGCCTTACTTAATCGTGGTTATCCTGCACGCTTCATTCAGAAGTACAGCAACCATTTACGGCCAAAGTTGACGGAACAGTCCGTTCCGAAGACGCCCGTTATAATATGTCTACCTTTTAAGGGTGACAACGTCTCAAACACAATCAAGCGACGCTTGCGTTGCACTATAGAAAGAACGTACAACGCAGCAGAGCTAATCTTCATCAGTTCCACAAAAAAGCCTTCCAATTAACCGGGCAAAGGATGCCTTGCCAATGCACGCCACCCCCAATTGTGTGTATGAATTCACATGCACTTGCGGATGCAAGTACATTGGGCGAACGCAAAGGCAACGGGCAACCAGGGCCGCTGAGCATTTGCCTAATTGGCTTTTCAAACAGGTAAATAGAACCCCCCGTTCGTCTATAACGAAACACCTGTTAGATAGCGGTCATGTTGTCGAACCTAAAGCATCCTTTCGAGTACTTGTCCGAGCACGTACAACTCGAACCTTGCGTTATTTGGAAGCAGCCTACATACGGAGGGAGAAACCAGACCTGTGCAAGCAATTAGATCACGTGATCAATCTGCAATTGCCCTGGTAATCTCAAGCCTCTATTTTCCCCTGACTGTGATTTGTTGTTAACATTTCGTCTCCCCTTTTTCCTTTTTGATGCTTATGTGGGCGTCTTATCTGATTATTGATTATTTTGAACTTTGACCTTGCTCCTATGCCCTGCCATTCTGTACAAATTCATACTGCTGTGCGCTTTCATTCGTTACCTATGTTATGCAGAGACGGGTTGCAGTTGAAAAGCCGTCACGAAATTTATTGGCCCCAATAAATTCTGTACATGCTTGTTTTCAATACAATCATTTTGCTCTGTGTTATGTCAGAAGTTGGGGAGCCGCGAGAACAGGTTTATTTTGTACACAGAGCAGGTTGCCGTGAATTGGCTGTTTGCTTGTGACAGAGCTAAGCCTCCGTTACCTGGGCGCGTCAGTCGCGGTGCTTTGTTTATGCGGGGATGCATGTCTGCGCCAGCAGAAGGGGTGGCTGGCTGAGTGTTGGTCATGTGATTGGACGGATTAGGGGAGGAATAGGGGGGGCGCATACTCACAGGGACTCACGGGTATTCAGCCGGGCCGTCGGACTCGCGAGGTGGGGAAAGTTTTTGGGGGCAGACGTGAGTCACTGCAGCTGGATAGGAGTGCCTCAGTTCCAGTCGGGGGGTGTGCCCGTGCGCCAAAGGCGTGTCAACGGTTGTCGAAGTCATCGACCGACAAAGCGCCGCCGGAGAAGCGGGCACTGGATCCTATGTCCTACCAGATAAAAAACTAATCCAGCAGGTCGGAAACAGAAAAGTAGTCCGCTCCGGTTTGCAGCTAGGCGGTCCGTTTTTATGCTAACTGTAAACCTCATACGTAGCAGGCTGCAGGCATTTTCTGGAAAAATGATACGGCACAATCGCCCACGTGATCTCCGCCATCTCCATCAGGTTGTCACACATTACAGTAGAGGAGTGCCTATATGCTTGAAACCGCCAAAAACTGAAAGTATCGCAAATCAGAGATTACAGAGTTTGTTGCACGCCCGAGACTACTCTATACATAAGCATAGTATTGGTTATAACCTGAAATTGGCTCGCGGTGCGCGTTAATCGGGTAGCGCAGGGTCCATGTGAGACTAATGTCACGCGTGACTGCAGTGGGACACCTTGGAGGTAGGCCTTAACACCGTCACAATCACTGCCACCAATTCTATCACCACTTGTCTAACAAACTCAGACAGTCGCCTGGTGGGTGGGAAAGAGAAGGGAGTGAGTCAGAAACTGGAGAATTCGTCCCACCGTACATCAGCTGGCGTGCTCACATCTATTGCGATGCACTAACAGTCGTGGCTTCCAAGATTCTGTAAAAATTCCCGTGTTACGATTAAAAAGTCAGTTGTCAAACATTTGCTCTCGGTAATTCGTCATCAGTCCATTACAATTAGATGAATGATGAACGTCTGAGCTATGGACAGGGTTTCTCTGTGTCTCGAGAGCAAGGTTAATCAAGCTCGTTCTTACCACGCCGCTTGCATGACGGACTCGGCGTGTTGAGGAAATTGGAGCTGGAGTGAGGGGTGGGGGGAGGGGAAACGGGAGGGGTTCTGGTTAGGGTGTAAACGCTGTCTGTAATGCCAAACGCGCAATGTGCGTGTGAATGTTCTCAGGACGTTGGGGCGGCGTGTGATCACCACCTGGAATCGTCCTGGGAGCACAGACTACCTGTATCAAAGTCTTCTGACAACAGAGCGCTGGGTTCATTAACCGGATAGCCACCATCTCGGCTGTTGTTAGCACCCGTTTGTGTAACCCTTTAGAGTAGTGTGCTGGTGCTCGGTAGGCAAATTGAAAGGCCTCTTTGGCGTCGACGTGCTGGCTAGTATCGATTAGACGTGCGAGAATTCAACTTGAAGCTGAAGTAGGCAAGAACGGCAGGATTTATTGGTACCAAAAAATTTCACGACTGCTCTTCAGCTGCTTCCTGTCGCTTCATAAGAGGGATAACGAGTGAGAACAATACAACAGATTTGAATTCGTGCAGAAAATCGATGCAGAAACAGCAAGGTTAGGGTTTTGGGCAAAGTTGGCTAATCGGTAAAGTTAGTAACACAAACGCCGTAGGGGAAGAAAGTGAAAAAAGGGGAAACGTTAAAGAGCAAAAAATGAGAGGAGAGAGGGGGAATCATGGTGTTAGAGGCTACCATGGTAATGTTAGGTTAACCACGTGCTCCAATTGTTTACAAAGATCTGGTTTCACTCGTCGTATATAGGCTGCCTCCAGGTAACGCAATGTCCGAGTTGTTCGTGCCCGAACAAGTACTCGGAAGGAAGTTTTGGGGTCGACGGTGTGACCAGTATCAAGTAGGTGTTTCGTAATGGATGAACGCGGGATCTTATTTTCTTGTCTAAGGAGCCACTTGGGCAGGTGCTCAATGGATCTGGCTGCCAACTGCCTTTGCGTTCGCCCAATGTACTTGCATCCGCAAGTGCATGTGAATTCATAAACACAATTTGACGTGGCGTGCATTGGCAGGGCATCCTTTGCCCGTGGAATCGGAAGTGGCTTAGTAGGACTGCAGAATACTAGTTCGGCTGCATTGTATGTCCTTTCAATGGCAGAACGTAGCCGTCGTTTGATAGAATTTAAAATATTGTCGCCCTTAAAGGGCAAAGATATAAAGACGGGCTTTTTCGGGCACGAACAACTCGGACATTGCGTTACCTGGAGGCAGCCTATATACGACGAGTGAAACCAGATCTTTGTAAACAATTGGAGCACGTGGTTAACCTAACATTACCATGGTAGCCTCTAACTCCATGATTCCCCCTCTCTCCTCTCATTTTTTGCTCTTTAACGTTTCCCCTTTTTTCACTTTCTTCCCCTACGGCGTTTGTGTTACTAACTTTACCGATTAGCCAACTTTGCCCAAAACCCTAACCTTGCTGTTTCTGCATCGATTTTCTGCACGAATTCAAATCTGTTGTATTGTTCTCACTCGTTATCCCTCTTATGAAGCGACAGGAAGCAGCTGAA